GGGCAATACGAGGTAGTGGTCCAAATTCATGTCTTATTTACAGGGAATGTTATTCACAGACTCTATGAATAGAGCCCTACTCCCTACATGAATTGGGGAAGAGCTAGAACAGAAGTCCGATCAGGAGTTGATTTCCAGAGTTGTTTTGGACTAAGGACTCGACGATCACTCCCAAAATTGTCAACCACTGTCAACCACCGCTAGAAGGCCACCATTGACCACCGTCCATCGCCCTTTACTCGTTATAATTGGTGGATCTTATGGAGTAACGACGAACTTCGCAACGAAGTCCCATTAGGAGTAACAATGTAAGTTGCAGATTTACGAAGCACCATGCTTTGTAATAATTGGTTTAAAAAAATCTGATAAAAATTTTGGAAATTTTGAAATGTACTCTAATTTTGCATTCCTCAGATTTCAATCGAATCAATTTTATAAAATTTTATAGGTCAAATCGATCAATTCAATATAAAGCACTATATATAACTTATGAATGAATTGGAAGATATAAAAATCAGAAGTTATAAGTTTAATTAATCTTAATTAAACCATAATCCCTCCTTAATCTTGCTTTACTGTTCTTAACTGACTTCCACATGATATTTATCTTTATATGGCGTTGAATGGGGGGATCCTTCCAGAGCCTTTGATTCCTCTCCCTGTTCTCGGTTTCGTTGCACGAAGTCTCTCCAAATTCTTCCTCTTCCCGTGAGTTCAGCGTTCAGTTATTGCAGAAGGTGTTATTCTGCACAGTAGCAAAATCGTAATCAGCAGCAGGCAAGCAACCCGCAGAGAGCCGCAGCTCTCTGTTTAAACTTCAGGGATGAAATTAGTGAGTGAGAAACCTTCTTTCATGTTATTTAAGACATTCATTTGTTTCTTCACATTTTCATTTCGAGATTTGTTATGAATCGTGCATCGCTTTTGTTTAAATTTCTATTTTCTATAATAGTTGCATTGATATGTAAAGTTATATCTATGTTGCAGATAGATATTTATAATTTGAGAGCTTGGATGAAAAACAGATTATATCCAAGATGAAAAGGACTCACAGATGAGTTTTTAAATGGCGTTGAGAAATTCATGCAGGTGCCATCACGCCCTTGGTCTACGCGGATCGGGGGCCCTGCTAACGTGTGAAACACTCCGCCTAAGGACTCACAGATGAGTTTTTAAATGGCGTTGAGAAATTCATGCAGGTGCCATCACGCTATTGGTCTACGCGGATCGGGGGCCCAGCTAACGTCGGAAAGAGAGCAGGTCTCTTGTAGCCGGCCCATGGCCAACTCTTTCCGTGGAAGACTCGACAGAAAGCTAGCATTAGGTCTAAAGATGAGTGACCGGATAGATCGTTTTCAGGATAAGTTTCGGTGTCCTTGTGTGAAGAACAAAAAACAAGTGTTTCTGCCACCCGAAAAAACTATGTTGGATTTTTACCGCAAGATATTCAAACCTAATTATTTCTACTGGACTGCACATGATGAGCAAGAACTTGAATTCCAGTTTGAGCAAAGTGTCTCAATAAGCTACGCCCTACCTACATAGGAATTTAATCCTAGCATATATGAAGAAACGGTTCATGATGCTCAAAGAGCTCAATTTGTTGAGAGAGTTCAACACGAACCTGAAACACCGAACAACAAATTACAACAGTTCTAAGACTTACTAAATGCTGCATAACAACATTTATATTATGGTTGCACTACACATATAAAGTTATCAGTGATGCTGAGAATGTTGACCATCAAATCTGATTTTAACATGCTCAGAGAATCATTCAATTATGTTGCAACATTTTTGAAAGAGACGAGTCTTGCAAAAAATTTAGTGTTGGATGACCTGTATAGAACTAAAATGTGGTTTCAAAGTTAGAGTTACAATGTTAGATGATCGATTGTTATTTTAATGGCTACATGATATATTAAAAGGTCGATGCAGCCGAGACGGCTTGCCAATTTTGTGGTTCAGATAAATTCAAACAAAAGGGAAGAAAAAGTAAAAATAAAAAAAAACTCCATACAAGCGCCTCTTTTATTTTCCGCTCATACCACGACTTCAGAGATTTTTTGCTTCCATGAGTACAACCACTCACATAACCTGAAACAGTGTTGGATCCATTGATAATAACTCGATGAGGCCTTGAGACATTTTAATCATACTTACCCGGACTTTGTAACTGAAGCACGTAATGTTAGACTTAGGTTATGTGCAGATGGCTTCACCCCGTACAGTTGCGTCGCAAACCTGTACTTATCCTGGCCAATGATTATTAAGCCATACAATTTGCCCTTCGAAATGCACATGACTGTGTCGTTCTTGTTTCTGACCAGAGCTTATTTCCTCATAAACTTATAATGTTTACATTGCTAATCGTTGTACCGACGGGATAATATCGGTCGGGAGTCGGGTAAGGGTCTTTCCACCATACAAAATTGTGATGTTTACATCACTAACTATTGTGTCGGCGGGAACCGACGGGACAATATCGATCAAGAGTGTGTTAGGATTTGTTTATGGTGATCCTTACAGAGACAGATGTGTATATAAAGATATAAAGTAAGAATAAAGATAAAGTAAATGCATATAGAAAATTTGAGTAGTTTCATTTAGAAAAGATCATTGATACATGCATTTGCATTTATAAGATTTCGCTTAAAAAAATGAAAGACTAACATATTATAAAATTTCTTTTAGAGATATGAAGACCAACATGCATATTGATTTCTTTTCATTAGGTTACTGTTGTTAAGAAGTATGATTACCCTTGAGTTAACTGCAGATAAATCATTATGTTGCTTTAATATTTTATTTAGGTTTTGAATTTTGAATAAGATAAAAAGAAGAGGATCAAATAAGTATAGGAGGCGAGAACAGAAATCAGAAATGTACATATTTCTACTAGTTAATTTTAATTGTTTTGTTTAGTGGTTATGTCATAAGTTAATTTTAATTGTTTTGTTTAGTGGTTATGTCATGATTTTAATTGTTTTGTTTAGTGGTTATGTCATAATTTTTTTTTAAATTAAACTGTTAGTGATAAAAATAAAATAGCTAAGAAACCATTTCCACCGCTTGATCATTTGTTCTCATCATGATTAATTCAAAACCTGGGTCGTGTCGTGGCAGAGTGAAGGCTGGAAGGCGCGGTGAAACCAAAGGATGTGGACGGCGACAACGAAGGGGAGTTGCGGAAAGAGTAGCAAGCTGGAAGGAGAGGAATGGATGGTTGGGTGGCTGGAACAACAAAAAACAGAAGGAAAATGTTGTTCACGGGCAGTTGCAATAGGGGAGAATGCCGAAAAAAATGATGGGGGATGTGAAGAAATACAGGACAGCAAAAGGACAACTATCCAGGGTGGCGGCAGTAAGGGCAGATGTTGGATTGGGAAAATTGCAGGGAAAACAACAAGGTATGGTCGTTTGGGGGAAGTTACAATAATGGAGGGAGATTGGGAGCAACATGGGGAGGATGTGAAAAGGGATAGAAGATAAACACTACCATGAAAGAGAGATACTGTCGGAGCACCACCCATACCCTCAAATACGCCTTCAAAAGGAGAAACGCACGTCGGCGGCTATCCTAATAGAAATCCAAGCCAAAACCTGAATTCCAAACCCTAATACAAGACACATATAAAAATGGACTAAAAAGGAATGAAGTATAATAGGAAGAAAGAATAAGAAAGTAAAATGAGGTTATTTGGGCGCCTCTTGCGATATATATTTTCGAGATACTGTAGCAACTACAGTATCATGTCTGCGGCAAGCTCCCGCGTCACTGGCAATCAATTGCCATGTCACTAATTCGAGGGCCAAGCGAATGCTCCCCCAATTAATACTGCAATTGCCATGCTGTCTTTGGCAATCTGGAAGTTACAATTGCTCCTTGAGATGGACCTTTAGGTGGGCAGCTAGCAGCCACACCTTCATATAATACCAATAAGAATTATTCTTTCTTAATCCAGGAAGTAAATACAGAATCTATGAGACTTAAATGCCAGTAACATATTTAATTGTATAAACCCATGAAAACTATGAAATCATCTTATTTTGTAAGTGTAGATACATTTATTGACTTCAGGAAGGATATAGGTAACTAAGTCCTCCAGCGCAGTATGAATTCTAGAGAATTTAAGAGATCCAATGTAGATTTCCTGCATGGGCGGCTTTGATTACCTTCAATACAGTAGATTTGGAGTTTCTAATCTTTGTTGGCCTTCAAAAAATTAAAGAGAAACACCTCATTCTCACCCATCTCATAATGACTTTCAAACTTCAAGTAGTCAAAACAGGTTTACTACTAGTTCATCAATAGGTTTATAAGAAAATAACGACAGCATATGAAACAAACCTACACTAATGTAGATGTGCATTTATTGCCATTATCCAAAGGCTTCTTAGAGGTTTGACAATTCCTACTGATTTCATTGGGATGCAGGTCTTCAACTAGGATCATTCCACTGTCATTCACATTGATGTGTTACTTTCTCGTGTTTAGATAGCTAAATATTTCTTACATGTACCCTGATAAAGCTCAGATTTAATAAGGTGATGATAAACTAAAAAAAAGGCATAACTAAGCGGTTCATTGTTCCACTAACAAATGAATGCAGAGTAAAAAGAATATAAAATAAATGCAATATATCGAAAAAAAAAATCAATTAATCGGTTAAGTATGCTATAAATGCAGGATATTATACTTTTGTGTTCACTTAAAATAAAATTAATTCCATGTATAACCCTGTAGGAACAATGGCCAGCAGCTTTGCTGGATGGGGGGGCAAGCAAAACTTCACACATTTTTAATGTATATGGAAATCATCCAAACCGCAAAATAAAAATATAATGAAAATGAACTAGATAAAAAATACCAAATATCTCTATGTACTAGCCTGCATTCTCTTTTCATCAAATAAAATACATGAAAATTCTAATCCCCATTTAGTTTACTTTAAAATCAACAGTTTCCAAGTTCATTTTAGAGAATTTTTAGCACATACCGTTGGCCGAATGGGAAGATCAAAGAGATGAGGAATTCCGAACTGCTGTACAACCTAGACAAGTTAATTGACCTATTAGAACAAATATAACTGCTAATAAGAATAGAAAAAGTTTTCATAAGCCACATGCCTGAGCCCCAGAGCCCTTTCCAAAAGGGTAATAACGCTTTCCATCAGCATCAAAATAGCACATGTTTTCAACTACAGCAACACACGGGACCTGCAAAAAAATACACAAACCAGGACTTACCATTAAGCAGGAAAAATTTATGTTGACACAACTAACCTTCATGCAAGCACTATATTCACTTATCCCGAATTTACAGAAGCAATAACATGCTGAACAAAGAATTTTAAATAGACTTTTCATTTTATGAACAAGCTAAAATAACATCTTCGACAATATTGATTGCTTAAATGTTGCATTAATTTGGGTACAGTAAAAAGCTTGATTCACTTAAAGGATACTCAACATTGCTGCAAGCAAACCTTAAGTTTTGAAAACATGCGAACTCCTTTGGCCACATCGATAAATGCTAGCTTCTGGGGTGTAGTGACAATTACTGCTGCAGTTAATGGAGCTACCTAGAAAAAAGTAACTTATGTTTGCCATAAAAAATAAATAAAAGAACAAAAAATTGTCAATAAGTAATAGTTCTAGAAAAATGAATTGACAGACTACACCTGGCACAAAGTAAGCTGAATGTCACCAGTTCCAGGAGGCATATCAATAACAAGGTAATCCAGCTCTCCCCTGCATGGTGCAAGAGTCAGAAAAACTGTGTAATTTTACATCCAAAGGAAGTATCTTGTCATAAGAGAAAAAGAATGTGATGAACGGGAGGCAATGCATTATTTTGAAGATAAATGATGTAGTGGACTCATGATTCATCCATTTTTCAAGTGAAAGAAAATGAGGGTAAAATTAAGCGGATAAGCCTCATGCATGTGTGTGCTTTGCGGCTGTCAGGGCCTCAGATATGATACGGCTTGTGGTCCCGCAGATAAGCATTCACATGTGCTTTGCCTGTGTGTTTTAGCAAATATGGGATATTGTGCAGAGTTGAAGCAAACATGCTAGCATGGAAGTTGTGTTGGACCTATGTGTTGATTTCAACTGATTATGAAAGTTATATTTAATTGAGAACACATTCATGAAATAATTTAACATATTAAGACTGATTTTATAAGAACCTTATCTACTACCTTAGGTCATGCAAAGTCTATAAATAGTGATCTAAGGCATACAATCCTAGACTTGTAGATTGAAAAAGAAAATCATTTTCGAGTTTAAAACTTATGAGTGCAATTTAGGGTGTGATTCCTTGAGTGTGGGAAAAAATGCGATAGTTTAATTCTGAGGGAATTCATCGTCTTGTACCGACATGAAACTTGATTTTTATTATGTCACTTTCTTTGTCAATTTCTTCCATACAATTAATTATAAACTATTTTAGTGTTTATGATTTTGGCCAAAAGAGTACATCATCAACATCAAATCCTTAATCCCGCTACGTGGGGTCATGAATGCTTTTTCTCCATTGACATTGAGTCCTATTTAGTCATATTTTCATTTAGTTCTAATAAATTAAGATCATTTTGGCCAAAAGAGTAATATATTAAAAACATAATTTAGTGAGAATTGATTCATTTCCTTCTTGATTTAATTTCTCATTTTAATATAATCTATACAATAATTTTTCATTTCTAATTTAACCCTTTTCATTCAATTTAAGTATTTAGTCTTTTTAATATATTAAAGAATTCATATTAGTCGAATGTATTCTCAAAATTTTGCACCCGTAGGTACCCTCAAAATTTTACACCCGAAGGTACATTTTTATCATTTCAATCTCTTTTTTCGTGCACAGATACATACAATCCCTTATTAGTACATTCAGGGGGTAAATCTTGATTGATTTAAACATTTATTTATCATTTCATATCAATTTAAAATCATTTAAATGTAATTTCATATGTCAATTATTTTTCTCTCATTTATGAGATATCATTCAAACATTCAAATGCAAAACATAAATAAAATATTTTTTTTAAAAATAATATTGCAAGTTCATTTTTTATCAATTTGAAATATAGCCTCTAAATTGTCTTCATTTTGCATTCCACTCAAGCTGGACATTCTTTCCCACCAACTTGGAAAATGGCAAAGCCGTTTGTAAAAAGCCTTTGACGAACCTCCTGTAATATATTGTCAAACCAAAAAAACTGCGTACCTCACTAACATTCTATGAAGTAGGACATTCCACAATTTCATTCACCTTCTGAGAATCAACTGAAATTCCCTGACCAATGATAATGTGTCCCAAAAATGCAATGTTTCGCAGCAATAATTCACATTTTGAAAATTCTGCATATAACTGATTTTGTCTCGGCAGATCTAACATCATCCTCAAATGCTTGGCATGATCTTTATCGGTTCTTGAATAAATTAGAATATTGTCAATGAAAAAAATAAAAAATTGTTTCACATATGGCTTGAAAATTCGATTCATCAAGTCCATGAAAATTATAGAGCATTAGTTAAATCAATAGACATAATTAAGAATTCATAATAACCATACATAGTCTTAAAAACTGTCTTAGTTATATCTACCTCCTTGACTATGACCTGATGATATTTCAATCTTAGATCAATTCGGAAAAATACAGTTGGACCTTCTAATTGATCATATAGCTCGTCAATCCTAGGCAAATGATATTTGTTCTTGATCGTCACTCCTTTATGTAATCAATACATGACCACATGGATCCATCATTCTTCTTGACGAATAATACTGAAACATTCCACAGTGAATTACTTGCTCTGATAAAAACCTTATTGATCAATTCCTGTAACTGACATTTCAATTCCTGCAATTCCTTTCGAGTCATCCTATATGAAGATTTGTATATTGCAGATTTTCCTGATTGAACATCGAAAATACCAAATTCAACTTTTTGTTCTGGCAGTAGTCCTATACAACAAAAAATTCTGAAACTGCTAGAATGTTTTTTAATTCATGTACATCTTTATTTAACACTTCTAGTTTTGCCAAAAATATCAGTTCACCACTTGGCAAACATTTCTCAACATTCATTGCACAAATCCGAGAAGATTGTGCATTTCGATCACATAAGACAGAATGGATTTTCACCAGGCAATTCCAGCTTCACCCGTCTTTTCCAGAATTGAATTTTAGCAAAATGATTTACTAACCAATCTTTCCCAAAAATAACATTAAATGTCTGAATTGGTATGATAATCAACTCCATTGACAACTTATCTTGCACATGAACATACACTACACATTTTCTATTGGCATAAAACTCAATTACCGAGGGCGTAATAACACACAAAACAAGAGTAAAATGCATAATATCGACATACAAATTGGCAGCAAACTCATTAGAAATAAAGGAATGTGATGCACCTGAATCAAATAAAACAGTGCTAGACAAATCTTGAATTAGCAGTGCACCTGTAACCACTTCCTCAGATTCTTTGGTTTCTTGAGGGGTAATTGCAAAAACTCGGGCTCTTACTGGTTGCTATGTTCTACATTCTGAAACTTGACCTTTGTTTGCACTGAAGACTTTCCCAAAAACTAAGTTCTGTTGGGTTGACTGCCTTCCAAAAATTTTCTAGACTATCTTGTACTTGGATTGCTTGTGGTTTGCTGTCTTTCTTCTTTTCTTTTGGACAATTCATTTGAATATGTTCTGGTTGTCCACATTCTTAACATTTTCCGATCTCGATCAAACACTGCCCAAAATGTCTCTTCCCACACTTTTCACAAAGTGGCTTTTCTAACTAAAGTTGTTTCTACTTGCTTTCTAATTTAGTTTTCTTGCTTTGAAATTGTTCTCTTTGGTAAAAATCCTTTTTGCTTGCCTGCTTGAGGTTGCCACTGTTGACTAAAAAAGTTCAGCTTATTTTCATATCTTTTTGTTTTTTCAACAAGCACGAAGAAATCGCTTATTTCAAATAGAGCTAATGCTAATCTCAACTGATCTATGAGACTGCGCAGAAATCTGGAACATTTTTCCTCCAGGGTGCTGACATAGTGGGGTGCATATCTAAAAAGAGAAGCGAATTCTGCCTCATATTGCATAATTGTCTTAGACGCCTGAGTTAGATTGAATAACTTATCTTGCAATGTTAATTTAATTTAAAGCAGAATAAACCAATCCTTAAAAAATTTAACAAATTCTTCCCACTGAATCTGTGGAAGAGATGTCAACTGAAAATTTTCCCTATGTTGTGCCTCCCTTCACCTTTCTGCATCGCCTTCTAACATGAAAGTAGCTAGTACCACTTTTCTATTTTTCGTACAAATCATATCATCGAGAATTTTTTCAATCTTCAAAAGCCATTTTTCAGCAACTGTAGGATCACTAGCACCCTTGAATGCAGGTGTCTTGAAAGACTGAAATATCTTTAAGTGTCAATCCACTTCTACTCTAGTTTCAGATATGGGTCTTGTACTGGTGAAGGATCTTTCGATAGCAGTCATTTTATCAACCACTTCTGATATCAGTTGCACAAGGTCCTATAGCTCAGTAGTTCTGGTGTCTACAGTTGAGCAGTCATTTTATCAACCACTTGTGATATCAGTTGCACAATATCCTATAGCTCAGTAGTTCTGGTGTCTACAGTTGTGGTTCTGATTTTCATTTATGCCCAAAACAGAGTCAGCTCGAACTTCATGCTCTGCATTTGGCCTAAAAGAATGGTCTTCCGTGTTTTCTGATTCTTCTCCAGAAATATTTATCTGTATTGACACAACTTATTATTCATATGCAATCTATCATATAATAATTTTATCATGCACATATGACACCTTAAATTGTAAGAGTTACCCACCCCAGCTTGATCAACCTATAGCTCAGTGTAAATCATTTCAAATTTAATCTCATTCTTACTTCTTCTAAATCCAACATGCTTCAATCATTCGTTTCATCCAATAACCATGCTTAATCATGCTTTGATACCACTTTATGTCACACACCAACTAACCCCCTCGGTATGGTCAATCGTGGTATCACACATGCTTACAATTTGGTCAAACCAACGCTCACAAGCACTCATCCAAACTTTTATAATCATGGTCAAATGAGTGATGAATTAGGTGTATCACACATGCTTACAATTTGGTCAAACCAACGCCACAAGCACTCATCCAAACTTTTACCAAATGAGTGATGAATTAGGCTTAGGTTAACTGGATCGTCATGACATACTTGATACATTGCATGTCAAAGTTTATTCATATTTACGAAAGCATAAAATCTTATTATCACAATATAGATATATAGAGTTGTTAAACAAAATAAATAAATATATACCCAAAAAGACTGTACAGGCTCCCAACTATGGAACAAAAAAATGTAAAAGTCACCTGGCTACTCTCCCTAGTACTCGTTGCCCTACTTAGAAGGCAACAACATAGAATGAGCAAAACTAGTTGAACAAAATAATTAAAGCTAAAATAAGATTTTAAACATTAAATGAAATTAACTTGCATGTTCAACTGAAATTATACATGTCTACATACAATTATAACATGTTGGCATAATAAAACACATGAAAAGAGAGCAGGTACAGGTAGTATAAAAATCAACTATATTGTACCATGCAGGTCATAAGCATGAAATCATAAGTATAAGTATGTTCATTTATTTCATTGAGATCATATCAAAAGAATGTCATTTGTTTAATGTATGAGGTTCAACTATTTTCATGTTCTTTCATCATGGGTCATCACCCTGCCCCAAAGACTATATAAACTATCGATAAATGTTAGACTTCCCCCAACATAGCAGTTATCGATAGCCTCCCTTAGACCCATGGTTCTATCACCGTCTAATTCCAACATTTCCCAGAGTTTTGTCCTCGTATAAATACTAGTCCTGTATAATATACTTGCAAGCACTCATGTAATAGTCTATCCTTTAACATTTATCGTGACATTTCTTAAAGCATAATGTCTGTAGCAACATTCATAAGGCATTTCATTAAGCAAAATTCTTGTAAATAGGTATTTTATATCTCATAAGCATGAATTATAACTGAATAAATATCTGGAAGCAATCAGTGTCATATGCATGATTATCTGGATCAAAAAATAGTATAAAATTATTTGTAGCATAATAAAAGTCAACTGAGATACATAAATTAATTGTATGTATTAATCTACAATATGCCAAAATTCTTAAATACATTTGTGTCAAACTAAAAATTATATGAAATCTATAGAAAAGTATTTTTCTTAATTTAGCATAAGCTTATTTGATTTGATTTGATTGAACAACCCCATGACAAGTTTCTATATGCTCGTCTCGAGCTCGTTGCCTCGTATACACAACCTGGGGAACGTAGACATCACATGAATTCATAACATTCGGGTTCATAACATGATTTAACCAAAACATAGCTTATTAGTCCAAAACATACCTCAAATGGGCTTCTCAATATAAATTGCCCTTCAAAAACTAGCTAAACTCCTTCCTATCACCTCTAACTTAACTTTCCATACGCTAGACTCGTGCTAAAAACCTTTTAGAAGCTTGCAAGATGATTACAACACTTCCAGCACACAATTGGCGCCTTTGACGGCTGTCGGGAATGAGGAAAGCATTATGAGGCAAACTTCAATACGAAAGTGAGAGAAAAAATGAATGCTTAAAGTTGCGAGATAAAGGGAAATGTGCTTATGAATTTACTTTGAAGCCCTAAAATCCCAAGTTGCAACTTCTCAATGTCATCCAGTTTGCCTGCTAGTTTGCGGTCCTTGCACTGTACCAAGGGTTGTGGGCCCTGTTTTTCCCGAGCTGTAGCGATTGTGTGACGGACAATCAAAGAGAGAGATGGAATAGGGGAGGAAAATCAAAGCACGGGACTCCCTATTCGACCGAACGAAGGGATTAAAATGTGTGAGGGTAGGTTGTGAACAGTGGATCTAAGGATAAAGGGAGAATTAATTAGAGACTAATTAGGTTATATAAATTTAATAAAGCTTATAATTTCAATATTTTATAACTCTCAATCTATTCACAATTTGCATATAGTGTTTTATATCAATTTGATCGATTGCATGCATAAAATTTGATAAAAGTATTTTGATCAAATAACGAGAGATGAAAATTTTGAGATAAATTTCAATTGTGTCAAACTTTACTTGATACTAGGAAATTTGGGCAATATATGGCGGCATCGACAATCTCAAATAAACCCACATAAAGCGGTGACGTCAACTTCTTACGCAAGCGCCAGCACAAGATGCCCTCTCAGTAGGTTCTCCAACACGCGATGGTTTCTCATTTTCTTCTTCCACTTCCTTTATCGCATAGAAAAAGAAAGAACGACACCGCATGTGTGTCGCCAGCCTCCCTTTCCTGCCTCTACTTCTGACTTCTTCCTCTTCTAAAAAAACCATAAAATTTTTCATCCGCACACGAGCATTCTCGCTCTCACCTCCTTGGTTTATTTCTTCACTTCGTATAATGTTTGAAAATGGGACATACAACTCTTAAAATACCCTTAGAGACGGTTATCCATGTCGTTTGAAATTTTATTTTATTTATTTATTTATTTACAGATATTACAATCTTCCCTCAAAAAAATTTCATCCTCCAAAACTGAAAAGTTTGATATAAAAGCAAACATACCTTAATTAAAGAATTGGAAACATCTTTCTTGCAAGTTTGAAACTTTCCCTCTCGCTGCTACCAACACCCATTTGTTATCGCAACCTCTTCTAGCTAATTAACCACCCTTTGCTACCTTTCAAGAGGTCTAAACCCTCGCCGATCACCACCACCACTCCACAATCTACTTTAGTTTGAATTTGTATTGTCATTTGTTTCAATTTCATACTTCCATTTTGTTGGGTTGTAATTTTATATTTGATTTCAGTAATAATATTTGTTTTTCCAAACGTTGTTAGCTAACTCCAATATCTCAAACCTAAATGTGATGATTCATGGATGCCCCATACAAATTCATTCAAGACCCTTAGGCTTGATGGAAATATTTACATTTATTCTTATCAGGAGCATCACATTTAGGGTTAAGTTCTGTGCTATTATGTATTTTTTGTTATATATTTTTTCTCATTAATTGTTTCATTTTATTTTATATATTTATTTTGTACTTAAGTACATGCTCGTTTTGATGACTAAGAATGCTTTTATTTCTTGGCTTTATAATTTATTTGATTAGCACGAAACATTGAGAAAGCGTTGGTGGACTCTTGGGCATTATGTATTTTCATGGTACAATTCATAGGAGCTGAAATATTTCAAGTTGAGTAGACTGATATGGTAAACTCTTGGCATATTTGTTTCCAAAGAAAGGGGGAAATTCAAACATTATAATTTATTTGACGAGCCTCTTACAAGCAATCGCTTGCGGGCATCCAAGTCTAGAATATGGTGTGGCTTTCAGGGATTGAAGATAAGCCTTCTGTTAGTGTTTTGCCAATTTATTTTAGCAAATGTGGACTTGTGTGGACTCGAGGTGGATGTGCGATTTGCATTGTATCTAAGGGCTGGCCGGTTTCAATAAATCAAATTGGTGAAAAAAAAAACCATATAGGTCATTCTACATAAAATTTCAATGACAATAAGTAAATTAAATTATCCCCCACCTATAAAAGCATAAACACTCAGATGGAACATAACATTTCACCACTGACGTTTGCATGTTTTGCACAATGCTTGATTTAAAGTGGTCACAAGGAAAACCCACAATAAGTGGCAAATCCAACAAATCTCTGAAATGTTTAAACCGGAGATCTCAGGTTAATATTCTATTACTAGTTATTATGGAAACAACATTTTTTGCACATATGTGCTGCATATAGTAAAGAGAAGCCAACATTAACTGTATTTCCCTTTTAGAATGTATTTACAAAAGATGAAATGTTTGCAAAGTACACACCTTGCTCCAATGAAGAGAAAACAATTTAAAGCATAATAATGATATGCGATCATACCATTCAGCAGTAGTAAGTAGTTGATTGATGACCCCTGAAACCATAGGACCACGCATTATTGCACGCCCTTGTCCAACAAAACCAAAAGAAACTAATTTGACGCCCAAGTATTCTGCTGGAAGTAGGGTTTTATTTTCTGGGCTCTAGAAGAAGCTGGATCAGGAGCATTGTAAGAAACTTTATGTTTTTGCATGAAAATTCAGCGAATGTCTTAATACCATTTGTAGCAAACGATTCTCAGGAGAGACCATTGTTGGCAGACTTGGACCATAAACATCAGCATCAAATATGCCAACTCTAGCACCCATATCAGCTAATGTATAGGCAAGGTTTACTGCTATAGTCGATTTCCCAACGCCTCCCTGTAATTTTAGAATAAATGTACGCTGTTAAAGCACAGAAAGGTATTAATAATGAAAATTCTAAGAAAAATAATTCAACCAAAGGGCGACTATTCAATATCACCAAATAAAAAAGGCACTTTATTATTTCATAATTTTAACAATTTTTGTCTTTGTGAAATTAGGAAATTTGAAATTTGACTTCAATGATTCTGCCAAACCATGGAAGAGAGAATATTCTTTCTTCATGAACTTCCTAATTTCAAAATTCAATAGTGTGGAATTCAATGCAATCAGAATTATTAAAACTCAACAATGTCAACCACTCATCAGTTATTCTCGTATGGTTAAATAACCTTAGCTCTGCTATCCATGTTCTCGATAAACCCAGTAGCATCATGGATAAAGTTGAAAACACGGGTTCAAGTTGGATGCCAACTTAGAAGTGAAGAAAATAACACAAGATACTCATAGTTATTGACGCAAGGCTAGGGAGGAGCCGAACTGAGAGTTGGTTGAACCGGTTCAACCAGTTAGACGAAGTGGGTCGGCCGAAGTGAAAGGGATATGTTGCTTTCTCTGTTTTAGCGTTAGTTTTTATTATATTTTATGTCAGGACAGCCACTGGAATCCCCTGTTTTCCCTCTTAGGGCTGTAATCGATGACGAGTGGTGCTCCGGCTATATCTCGCTTTGAGGAGGTGCTTTTCCTTGACTTCCCCGCCCTCCACAACCTCGCTGCCGTTGCCGCCACACCTCCCTGCTGCAATTGTCAAACAGTCCAGGGGGGTTGTTTTCATGCAGTGCCACCTGATGTTCAACTTCCCATGTCGTAACCGAACCACCTGGCCTCCTTCCTTGTTGTAATGTCCCCTGCAAGCCTACACCAATCTCTGGAACAATCCCAACCGCCAGCCTTCGTTCCATTCCCTGTAGTAATTCCACTACCTGCCTCACCCATCCTAGCAGTAATCCCAACCGCCAAGCTTCGTTCCACTCCCTGCTGTAATTCCACTGCCAGCCTCGCCCATTCCAGCAGCAAACCCCAAAACACCAGCCTTCATCCCTCCTAGTTGCTACCCAACAGCCAGCCTTCTTCTCTCCTCCTACTCAAACCTCGAACCAGCCCACTACTCCTGCTGGCGAGCCGCAACCCAACATATCCGCCCCGTCCTAGGGTGTCTTTTGTGTTTGTATTGGTATTTTTCCATTGTCAAGAGTTGTCATTTGTAACCCATTTGAAATTTAAGAATACTATTTGCATTTAAATTGTGCTTTGGGTTAACCCCAGTATTATTTGATATCAGAGCTAGTCTAACCCTAGTCCTATACTAGGGTTTCCTGGCATTGGCCTTACCCATCTACCATAAATTTTCTTTCTTATTCCCAAATCATAGCCAGGCTTTAACCTAACCCTAATTTCTCCTTGTTGATTTTCAAAATCAGCAATCGTTAATCAATTTTTACACACTCTTTCATCTCCCAACTCTACATGTCACCAAGGAGATACATTTCCAAGCTTAGTTGGGAAGAGAAACAGTGAGAGATTCGTTGACTTCAGCAGAGGATTGCAAACATTGAGGATGAAAACCCAGGGGGGATTTACCCTCGATGGTCATATGGAAAATCAAAGTGGCGAATGAGATGAGAATTTCAACCCCTTTCATAGGGAGGATTTCAGTGAAGAAGAACAAATGTTACGATTCTTTGGAATCCAGTATCAGAGGAGTCCAAGAGAGGAGCTCATATATGGAGGACAAAGAGACTTCAGAATAAAGGTAGATCTACCATAATTTGATAAAGGTATAAATCCAAATGATTTTATCAGAATAAAGGGAGCTCATATATGGAAACCCTCTAGATAATTGTACTCAATCCTTTGAGAGAATCTTTGAGTACAAAGAAGTGCCAAAAGATAAAAAGATGAAGCTTGCAGGTATCAAATTGTGAAAGAGCGCCTCCTTGTGGTGGGACTTGTAAAGGCAGAATAAGAGAGGAAGCATTGACAACATTACCAAATTGAAGAAGATGTGGAAGGCCATGAAAAAAAATCATATCTTCTCACTACTGTCAATATATGTTTATGAGACTCCACCAGCAACAACAGAGACACCTATCAAAGGAGAAGTTCACGGTGCAGTTTAACCCATTTCAGATAAAATGTGATTTGGAACAGCCAAAGAAACACGCTATCAACTGTTATCTAGAGGGTTTGAAGCCCGCTATTAGCAATGTGGTGCATCTACAGCCTTATTGGTCACTTGAAGATGTTCAGACCTTAGAATTAAAAGTATAACGAAACAGGTAACCACCCACAGTTGGAGACATTAGCAGGAGCGCGCCTCAGAGATTTGATAAACCTGGTTCGGATAAGGATAAAACCACCACCAGTGAGAAGAAACTTTAAAAAAGTAGCACACCTACTACATTCCCTATCAGAAAATGCTTCAAATGACATGGATTTGGGCACATCACCTCTAGCTTTTCAATGAGCCGAGTTGTGAGCAGAATGCCATGGAGGAGATTAGCGACGATGAGACGGCTGAGGTACAGGCTGAGATGTATCATCTTGCAATAGATGAATGAGAGGCTTGTGGCTCGACGGGCACTACAGACCGAAGATACGAGGGATTAGCAATGGCTTTGTCACAATATATTCTACATCTGTTGCACTGTGACGAGAAGGTATACAGTCTCATCATTGATGGAGGGAGCAATAAGAACGTGTCATCTACATAGATGAAGGAGAAGTTGGACCTCATGACTTAAAGGCACTCCCAGCCATATTCTATGACGTGGTTGAAGACGGAAAACAGGGTTAGCGTTGAACGAAGTTGCCTGGTGGAGTTTTCGATTGGGAGCCAGTTACAGGATCAGGTGTGGTGCGACGTGGGCCCAATGGATACCTACCAGCATATGTAGGTGAGACAGTGGCAATTTGACCATAAACTTACCACAATGGATTCAAAAACGCCTACTCCACCAAAGAAAGGAAGCGCATCATCCTACATCATTCGTTGGAGCTCAAGATCACAGGAACTCTTGCCAACAGAGCAACATCGATGGGACCGGTTTTGGTAACGAGAGAGGATAATAAGACTAGGACACCAACTCCAGACACTGGACAAGTACGACAGAGTGCATTTCAGGATATCACGATCGATATCTTACCACCAGTGCCACCACCATTTGGGGAGGCTCGGGTGAGTCTCACTTCAAATGAGGTTGAGCCAATCATTAGTTACTTTGAGAGAATTTAGTAGTATAAATTTGACATGCATGCCCTAATCGAATCAGTATTATTAAGCTTTCAAAAGGTTGGACCAAGTTGGATGTGTGCTCGCAAGTGGAGAATCCTCCTCCGATGTTTTGGGAGACAGTGCAGCCGACAGTGTGATCAAGGTGCTCTTAAGGCAGCGACGAAGAACCAGAAGCTTCAACGAAAGAACTTGAAACTCCCCCAACCCTCGAAGACTGACACGGAGCTAGTGAGGGGTTGAACCAGGTTTTGGTTGAACCGGTTTAGCCAGTTGGACCAAGGGGACCAACCAACCCCTACACTAGGGGCTAAGTTTGCCGCCTAAGTGAGGGGCGGTCCCCCTTAGTTATCTACTCCCATCTATATGTTGCTTTCTTTATTGTAGGATTATTTTTTGTTGTGTTTTCTGTCAGGACAGCCGTCAACATTCCCAGTTTTTCCTCTTAGAGCTATATCCGAGAATGAGTGGTGCTTTAGCTATATCTCGCTCTGAAGTGGTGATTATCCTAGATTTGTCCCACCCTCTGCAACCTCGTCGTCGTCGTCGCCACACCTTCTCCCTGTTGCAATTGCCAAACTGTACAATTGGATTGGTATCCAGCAGTTCCATTCTACTGCAATCATCGCTCCCCCCCCCCCCCCAAAAAAAAACTATCCTGTCATTCAACTTCCTCTATCATAACCTAGTCACCTGACCTCATTCCTCACTGTTGTAATCCCCCTAACAGCCTACACATTTCCCTGCAACAATCTCAAATCCCAACCTTCGTTCCACTCCTTGTTGCAATTCCACCGCTAGTTTCAACCATCCCAACAGCAATCCCCACCGCTAATCTTCGTTCCACTCCTTGTTGTAACTTTGTTGCCAACCTCACCTATCCCAGCAGCAATCCCCAAACCGCTAGTCTTCATCCCTCCCGGCTCCTTCACAGCAGCCAGTCTTCTTCCCTTCACCTACTCAACCTTCCAACCAGCCCACCACTCCTCCTAGCAAGCTACAACCCACCATATTCACCACAGACTAGGGTGTCTTTTATGTTTGTGTTGTTATATTTCTACTGTCAATAGTCCTCATTTGTAACACTTTTGAAATTTCAGCAATAATATTTGCATTTCTAATATGATTTGGGTTAAGTTTAGTATCAGTTATTGAGGCAACTTGGGTTCAAAATTGTTTGTAGCAATATCCAAACCCTCCTTTTGGGACCTATGAAGCCTGAGCAAGACTCCAGAGATAATAGTACTAAAAGAAGAAGAGAAAGAGAAGACCAAAAGAGAAAGATCTTCAAAGGATTTTATTCTCCACAAAAAGATCAGATTATGTCACATAACATATCTTATCTATGCCATTTCAACCTCAATGTCCCTTTGACCCTGCATTTATAAGATTTTTTAGCACCACTACAAGAGAAACTATATTTTCATCTAGTATAGGAAAGAAAATAAATAATACATGAATTGACCATCACAAACACAAGGATATTGTGATCTAAGTCTTAATGAGTACACATGGATTGTTGTCTTGAATACAAGTGGACTAGCTCTACAAATAAAATATATTAGTCACTATCTCTGAATAAGTGAGTTCCTTTTAGATAAATGTTTTTAGAGTTGGGTGAGTGCCCCCTAAGCTTGAGCAAGTGTCTTCTAGGCTTGATGAGTTCCTTCTAAGCTGGGCAACTGCCCTCTTCCATGTAGTCACAATCTAGGCTTGATGAGTTCCTTCTAAGCTGGGCAACTATCCTCTAAGCTAAGATTT